AAAAAGCTATCTATCCTTAAGGCAATTTTGATAATTAATGATTTCTGTAGAAATTTGTCCAACTAATCTACATTTTCAAATCTATTAGCATTTAATTCATATGATCATCTTATATTTTTAAAAAACTATGGTTCTGAGATCATGTCCCTCTTTTTGATTTAAATATTGTTGATTTGTGCCTTTTTGTATTTTTTAATTGATATGTCACAGTTGTACATATTTTTAGGGTACATGTGATACATGCATACAATGTGTAATGATCAAATAGGGTAACTGGGATATTCATCACCTCAAACATTTATCTTTTCTTTGTGTTGAGAACACTACAATTCTTCCCTTTTAGCTATTTTGAAATACACAATGAATTATTGTTAACTGTCATTTCCCTACTGCACTATTAAATACTGGAACTTATTTTTATAATTATTTTAACATACATTCTACAACTTTCTTCTCATTTTCTATATTTATTCCCATTGAAATATGGCCTAGGAAAAATGAGTAGGTAAAAGTATTAGATAGGAAAATAGAAGTGGAGAGATTGGATATTTGGGGAGAAATTTCTGAAATAGTTACTGCAAAGAATGGAGAGTGAATTTAACAGAGAAACAGTAGGAACGATTGGTAATGTTGGTCATCAGAGGCTGATGATCATGAATCTACAGTGTAATCTATATGCCTGCCACATTGTGTGACTTCTCTCTGCTACTTAGGAGCAGTCAGAGAGAAAGTAGATAATTTGTACCCCTTCCCCCCCCCCCAGGGGAGGGAGGGTTGCTTGATTGGTGTGACAAAAAAGACTAAGGGGCAAAGAGTTTAGGATACTGGCATAGAAATTATTGCAATTATAGGCTATTAAATCTAAGCTGGATAAGGAGTAGAAAATAAAAATAGAGCTGATGAATTGAAATAAGAAAGCAGAGAAAATAATGAACTAAAGATCCCAGTGAGGTAGAAGAACAGTAGGAGTAAGGGTAGAGAAAACAGGAGATTGTAGTTAGAGAGGAGAATGTGCTTGAGTCACTGACTTTAGAAGTAGAGGAGTCATGAATGTTGACAAGGTCCATCATATGACAAAGGGAATGGGTAGCTGAGGCAGAATGGTATAGAGTCATTAAAGATGAAAAAGGATTCAGAGAGATCAGGGTGTTATGTTGCTCATACACATAACTGCTGATTTATCCAATATGATGGCAAACACTCTGCACAGAAGTGAAGACTGTGAACCAGATGCCAAAGTCATCTTCTAGGGGGGAAATGACTTGAGAAATAAGGCGATGGTATAGTTGAATGGCTTAGACTTCATGGGAATAGAGTTTTTTCTAGAGAGTTCTCCTAGAATGTTCTGGGAATGCTAATAGAGGGCGAGATGCCCTCCACAATTGTCAACTCTGGGCACATAAGAGTGTGAGAATAAAATGACCTGGCAAATGGGAGACTAGGAACAAAACAAAACAAAAACAAATGCTCACCGAACTATAATCCAGTATTAGCAAAGGGTTCACTTGAAATGTTTGGTACTTAAATAGTTTGAAAAAAAGCTTAAATGACTGAACATATAAAGCAGTATTATTAGTATTAGATTTTCTAAGTATAATCACTGTATTAAGAAGTATAGATATATACAACAGTTTGAAATTTCTGTCTCTTTAAAAACATGGCTAAAAATGTTAAAATTCATTACATTTCCCAACGTCCCTTATACAAAGATCCCTGAGACAACTACCTCCTTTGATTAAATGTCAGGAAAATAATAATTTCTCTAGTTTAACATATGCATCCCATTGTTTTATCAGAGAAAGAGAGAACTTTAATATGCTGCCCTTTTGTACATAAACTATTTTGTACATAAGTTTCCTAGTATTTTTCCTGATTAACATGAAATCTGATATATAATATTTGCTTAATAACTATATTTATAATATAGTTTTAGTAGAAAAAGTACAAGATTTGGAGCCATAGAGATTTGGCCAAAATACCAATTCTGCTATTTACTAGCTCTTGACCTTAGGCAATTCTGTTTCCTTCTTTGCAAAATAGGGTTTTAAAAAACACTTATTTCTCAGTGTTGTTATAAGGTTTAAATGAAACAAGAAGTGTTAGGCACTTAGTACTATGACTGCCAAAGAATAGAAACTCAAAAAAGGTAACCATTAGTATTTACCATTATTTATTTTAGAATATCTAATCTGTATGATACCTTTATTTTTTGAAAGTATTGAGAAAATTAAAGTTACATTGTGAAATGAATGAAGAGAATGAAGCTTTCAGTGAGAAAAATAATTTTTTAAAATCTAGATTTTTGTAGACAAGTACTGAAAATTTTTAGATTACAGTCTTTGCATTTAGCTTGCCATCTGCTAATGTGGCTTATATCTGTTCAATTCAAGAAAAGTCTGAGTGACTACTAAGTGCGAGGCACTTAGACCTGGGGATAGAGTGATGAATTACAAAAATGTTCCCTTTCCTTAAAAGTTCATGATCTACTTGAAGACTGTGAATATTAAATTTTAAACTGTCTCTTTATATATTAATATTTATTCATGTCTTTGGAAAAAGAATAGTTGGTTTTCTGAACACCTCCTTGCCCCAGTCCTAACTATTTCTCAATAGGCAACTGATTCCTACTTGTCCGATGGATTCTTACTAGTCCATTCTTTCTAAGGAGGAAAGTAGCTTCATGAGGAATCAACCAGCTACTAAGGGAAATGGTATTTTATAGGGAATTAATTTTCAAAAAATTTTAAGGGAATGGTACCATTTTTTTTTTCTCCACATGAAAACCAATATACATAGCAGATAAAGCAGAGCTGCCGTACTTTTGAAAAGGAATGAGCGAATTAGGTATATCTATTATCAGCTTATAGCAATTCAATTTAACAGACATTTTAAAGAAAAATAAAGGAATATATGATACTACATGTATTCATTTGTTTAGAATACATTTAAGCAATATTTTTCATTGCGCTTACCTTGACAGAAAATTTGACTACAATAGTAAAGACAGAATAATATGGGACAAGAATCGGATTCTATTCCTGTCCTCCCTCATGGGAAAAATGGAAGCTGGGAAAGTTTTTTAATTTTAGTTGAGCAAAGGTTGGGTCATTCTCTTAAAAGCTTCAGCTACTAGGCAGAAAAAGTTACAATATTCAAGGAGGTAAGTTATTCCTATAAAGCTAAGTTATTTAATATTAGTATCTATACAGTATATATTGCCATACCTTAATAAGGACAATTTCACATTAATTTAAAAAGTTATACATTTTATCTAAAAAAAGATATGAATTTATTCTTACCAGTAGCCCTCTCATTTTGATGCAGGATATTATGCCCTCTTTTCCTCAAGGGAACTGATTCTTCTTCAGTATTTCTAAGAGTCACAGACTGATAACTTTCTTCACAAACAGGACTTCTTTGCGTACAATATAATGTCCCATTTTGCTGGGCAATCGTTTGAGTGCCATTTGAATAATTTCTTTTTGCTAAAGTTTGGCACTCAGAAGAATAATAAGATGGTAAAGATGGTATCACAGTGACTAGGTCAGAACCAGCATTTGAGAATGGAGGACTACTTTCTTGATTCCACTGATTCAAATTGTGTTCTGTTGGAAGCACATGTTTTGAATTAAAACAGTTATGTGTAATAATGTTTTGAGAATTTTCAGGTATTACTGATTGACACTGAGACACTTGTATATTTTTACCACTTCTAATATTTGATGTAGATTTAGGAGGAGGGTGAGGCATAATTAGTTTACCCTGAGCTTGTATAAACATGTTGACTTTGCTTGCAGACTGTGGATGAGTGACAGTGCCTCTTCTGTTTGTATATATATAGCCTGATTGGACTTTTGCAGATCCTGTTCTTCTAATTACTTTTGCTCCACCTCTTTGTGGATTACCTTTCCGGGTTTTAGAATCACCATTATGGACAGGGATTTTACTTTCCTCTTTTTTTGAGGCTGGCCAGGCTTGTTTAGCAAAGTTACAACCTGAAGGTATAAAACAGTTCAAAGGGACATGGTCTGTTCCAGATCCTCCTAAAACAGTGACATTTTCTGAGAAATAATCATCCTCGGACTTCTTTCTATCAGCAGAATTTCCAGCACTAGCAGGAACATTAATTATGTTGCTGCCAGCAGCACTTTTAATGTGGAATTGTTGAGACCATTGTTGAGTTACTCCTGTTTTATTCTTCAGTGAATGATTGTTTTCAGCACTGTTTTCTGTATCGCCAGTCTCATCAAACCACCTCAGTTTTTTAATAGTCTTTGTGATTTCTGCACCTTTTTCTTTTTCCTTTGTTAACTCAATACTATCTCTGATAGCTGCTGCTTTTTGATTTCCAAACTTCAAGCCTTGATTTATAATTAGTGCCTTAAGATAATCATGCTCATACTTAGATTCTTTCTTTAAAATACCTTTAAGAAACCTCACACCATTTCTCTCATGAATGTTGTATTTCATTTTCTTGTGCTGGCCAATTAAGTCATAATTAGGAATTACATTAGACAATGATGTTGATGTTTCAGCTAATTTTTGTTTTTCATCTTTTGAATCAGGATTGTGAGGTATATAGGCAGTTTGAAAACTATCTGAAAATAAAGGCAACTGTTCCTTATTACAATTAAAATATTTTATCTTTTCATCTTTAACATCTTTGAATTCATCTAACTTATCAGAACACTGCACTGGGTCGATTTCTTTTATGTATATACTATTCTTTGCTAAAGGTCTAGCCGATTGTGTATTAGATGGCAAAACTAAAGGTGTTGCTGCTGGTATGCATGAAGTAGGAACTGAAGTGGTTCTATTTTCTTGAGTTAATTCACAATATTTCTCTTGGTCTGAAAATGTAGCCACTTCCTGGGTTAGAGAATCTGAAGTGCCCCAGGCTTTGCTGAATTTAAATGTTGGGTTCTCAGTAACTAATGGCCTCTCTCTTTTGAATGCTGCAGAAGTGGAGTCGATTGTCCTCATAGTGCTAGTTTCAGAGGCCTTTTCACTTTTTTTATCTAGTACAAATAAGGGTGGACTATAAACAAAGGCTGCTGAATTATCAGCAGTATTTGTGGCTCTTTCCACAGTACTACTCAAAGTAGATAGATTTTGTTCTTTACAATTAAAACATTCCCACGCAGGTGGAACATTGGATTTACTCAAAATATCTGAGAAAGGTGTGACAGTCTGGGTATTTGGAGCATCTAAATTGGTAAGCCAATTATTTATATGTTGAGTTTTAGAGAATGACAGTTTATCTTCCTCAAGGCAGCTCAGATTAGTTGATCGCAAATTTGCTGATTTGAGGGAAATCGTATTCTGCTGGATTGATGTACAAGGCTCCTTATTAAGTGTTAAGTATATTTCTTCCCGCTCTCCAGCCTCAAGACTGTCTGTACTTGAGAGGGTTTCAGAAGTGGTTATCTGATTAACTTCATCACAAAATTTCTGGAAAACAGAGAATATTGTTTTATAGCTTAGAAATTTTTAAATGCCAAAATTAATGATTCAACACATCATATGTTACCAAAGCCCAGTTCTTGGCATATAAAATAGAGTAATAGGACTATAAACAGTGCAGGTATATAAATACTCCTTATTGCAGCACTCCTCAGGGTAAAAAATAAGGAGGTAACAAAGACTTATAGCATGCATGCTTTAATGTTAACTCCTAAAATAACTACCCACTTATTCTAGCCACAGCTATATCTTAGAAAATAATTTTGTTATTGTTATTCCACATAGAGTATGAAGTTTCTTGAAGGTTTCAGAACAGTAAGTGAAATTCTGAAAAAGTTATTTACAAATTGCATTTTTTCCTGAAACATTTCCTGTACTTGAATGGGGCTCCTAAAAGCTCTGTGATCCCAATGTGAACATCCTGTTGGTAGGGGCTACGTCTTTTTTTTTTGTGAGCAGTGACATCATCATAGCTCACTGCAATCTCAAACTACTGGGCTCAAGCGACCCTCCTGCCTTAGCCTCCTGAGTAGCTGGGACTACAGGCATGCACCACCATGCCTGGCTAATTTTTCTATTTTTAGCAGAGACAGATTCTCACTCCTGCTCAGGCTGGTCCTGCTTTGCTTTCTTAGCCTTGCCACTGTTGGTTAGTTGTTGGATGAATCAGGCCAAGGTTATGAATTTAATCTTGATATTAGCCTATTAAGAATCTCACAAATATGTGTAATTATTCATAAAAATTGCATGGATATGTAGGAAAATCAGTAGAAATCTATGTTTGTGGAAAAAATAACAAAGCGAATGCCCTAGTAGGGACAGATTACCAACATCATTTCTAGCTAATTCTGCCATATTTCTATTAAGAAGTTAATATCCACATCTATTATAATTTTCAGGTTGCTTTTTTATAATAGAACTTCTAACAGTAATACTTATAGTACACTGTACTTTCAAAGGTAAGGAAAAAACTAAAAAATTATTTCTATAATATCTATGATGAATTTGTGCTGATTCATCCACACTCTTTCATGGCCTACGGTTGGCTAATGACATACATTTCTTTAGTGGAGAACACTGAAAAAGTGGGGCAGAATTAGTGCTAGGAATTAAAATATTAATTACATATTTACAGTTTCATACTTGCAAACTGCTTAGATGCTGATCTTCAAGGAGTTTCTGAGTTTCCTCCAGTTTAAGCTGGAACACATTTTTGTTAGTAGTCAAGTTTTCCCTGATGTTTTCTTTCACTTCTTTATCACAATTGATTTTGGATAAGAGTTGTTTCTGATGGTTGTGATCATTTTTTGACAATGCTGAAGGCAAGGCAGAATCTATAGTTCTGTGAAAAAGACACAAAAAATGTTTAGTACATTTAAATACAGTTAATTTCTTTCTATATGTATACAAATGACACCTTTGTGTAATATGTGTGTGTTTGTCCAGATAACCACATATAAGGATATTGGAGAAATATATAGACATTAAGGTAAGAATTTAAGGCAACCAATAGTAGAATAAACATGGTTGTGAGATTACAGTGCCAATTAAGAATTCTGCCTTTGGCCGGGCGCGGTGGCTCACGCCTGTAATCCTAGCTCTCTGGGAGGCCGAGGCGGGCGGATTGTTTGAGCTCAGGAGTTCGAAACCATCCTGAGCAAGAGCGAGACCCCGTTTCTACTAAAATTAGAAAGAAATTAATTGGACAACTAAAAATATATAGAAAAAAAAATTAGCCGGGCATGGTGGCGCATGCCTGTAGTCCCAGCTACTCAGGAGGCTGAGGCAGGAGGATCGCTTGAGCCCAGGAGTTTGAGGTTGCTGTGAGCTAGGCTGACGCCACGGCACTCTAGCCTGGGCAACACAGTGAGACTCTGTCTCAAAAAAAAAAAAAAAAAAAGAACTCTGCCTTCATGTAGGAATGCCCAATTATTCATGGCTTTGATTATTATATCCTATTCCTCTATCATTTGGGATAGAGGTAGAAATAATTCCTGTTGATGTGTAATTAGTCCTCTGTTATTTAAGAGCATTCCTATATGGATAATAATATGCTATATTACCATTCATTCAGAGTTGATGTCATGGCTGGTAGGTATTTCCATAACCCTAATAAAGTTGACTGAAGATTCAAGCAGATAGAAAATATGAAAACTGCTTGTCAGTGTAGGTGGGAATTTCTTCCCTACTTAACTAGGTTTTGGAGCTTGGATCTTAATGGTGAAAAATGTACACATTTGTTTTTAGTTGTTTCAGGAATATAAGCATGGTTTTCATGTTACAGAAGTGGTACCTTTAATATAGAGTCTACTTTTAGTGTGTTAAAGTGCCACCCCAAAATTATCAGTGCATGACATCATCTTCTATTAGAATTTTGTACCTTCTGGAAACCTATTGCCTGTTCCATTTCAGCATATATACAAAGTGCAACCAAAAACTAAGGAAGGTTTTTGGGGGAGGATGCAATGGGAATTAAACTATCATATAGCTGACTGCTGCACTGGGGCTGGTAGTGAAAACCCCAAGGGCATTTATTCCCAATTAAATTAAATTATTCCCAGTTAAGTAGGAATAAAAACGTTTTTGAAGGTGGCACATGGCCAAATGTAACATATACCTATCTCCAATACCCACATATATCTTTATTTGGACAGACTGGAATAGTCGAGGTCAATAATTACTAGATTCTTAACTATCTCTTTGAGATCACGGGGAAATAAGGGAGAGCAAGAAGGTATTTAGTACAAGATCCTGAACATTGAAAGTATGTGTCTGTCTCTTCCTTTTACACTTTCCTACTCTTACATGATCCTTCCCCTTCAGTCACCCTTCCCAAACAAAATATTGCTAAATCTACAAAATATCTAATAAACTCGATTTATTTACCTTTAAAGTTGTCGTCTCTCAACTTTTTCTTCTCTATTCCTTTCTTCTCTACTCCACTTTCTTCTCTTTTCTTCTCTACTTTCTTCCCCCAGTGAGGAGCATTGAAGGGATGGATAGGAATAAAAGGAAGTGGGGAGGTAGAAGTAGAGGGAGAGTGAAGCATGGGGGGAAAGGAAGAAGAAATCATAAAGGAAGAAGAAACTGGAGAAACTGGAGAGGGAAAAGCTAAATAAGTTGGAGGAAAACATGGAGAGGGAGATGAATGCAAAGGAGAGGAAAAAAGAGGGATAGTTGAAGGAGGTAAGGATGGAGAAGTAGAAGAGGAAGTCGAATGAGAGGGAATAATGGATGATGAGGAAGAAAGTGGTATAGAGGGGGAAGAAGAGGATGTGGAACTAGAAGGAGATGAAGACAAAGAAGATGGAGAATGACAGGGAGGTGGATGGGAGAGAATTGAGGTGGGCGGATGGTCTACAAAGGCCTGGGGTTGATTTGACAATGTTGTGGCTTGTGGAACAGATTGCTGAACTGACTGAAAAGGATCCAAGCTAGCAGGATGTTCAGGCAATGGAGTGACATAAGGAAGAGTGGGGATTGGTTGACAAGGGGGATGACTGGGTAAACAGGAAGGCTTCAAAACAGGGAGGGCTTCCAAAGGGGTTGGGGAAACAACCAGTCGGGCTGGAAGGGAATGACGAACAAGGGTAGGCATTAGAGTGGCTGGGGTAGAACACTGTGCTGAGGGGAAAGGTTTGGGTCTGAATGTTTTGTAAAATAACTTGTTCTGTGAGTCAGTATCAGGAATGACTGGATAACTTCGGGGTGGGTGAGGTAGATGGTCAGGTGGGCCAGAAGGAATTGGGGCTGGTAGCCGAGGGAAACTGTTAGAAATTCTGGAAGTAACTGGGGCTGGAGGATGAGGAAGATATTTAACTGGGTAAGACAGTAATGGGGCTGGTAAAAAGGTCTTTGGAAGAGTAGAGGGAACAGATGGGTGGATAGGCAGGGTATGGGGCTGGCGGGTAGGAGAAACAATTGGGTAGCTAGGAAGAATTTGGGAACAGTGGGATAGCAATGGGGCCCGTGAAGGAGACAGCTGATCAGATAAGTAGGGATCAGGTGTGGAGACAGCAGGAATGGATCTGCACAAGTGGAAAAGCATTTGGAGAGGCAGGTAGAAAGACAGCCTTATTAAGATGGCTTTTTTGGTTTATTGGTCTGCCTCTAGGTTTCTCATTCATGTTATTTTTTTGTCCTTAAGGTCCATGATCATCTTCCTTTGATCAACTAGTGTCCTCTCACATGGTCAGAAATATGTACATAGTTTATTAGGGCTCCCCTTGTCTCATTCCTTGCTCTTAGAGTATTTTCACTTTTCAGAAGTCTGTTAGTCATACAGATACATGAGTACGGGTTGAAAATCTGGTTTAAAGCACTAGTAACAAAGGGCAAATAGAGGTCAGAGACAACTGCTCAGCTCTGGACAGACTTCTCAGTGTATCAAGTGTTTCAGGATCAACTATCTCACCACAAATACATGGATATTGGAGATAGATATCTAACTATATCATTTTATTGAAGTATAAATATTTAGTATAGGAGAGAGATAATATACTCTCTTTTACTCTACACCTACCAGAAGGGTCAAGTATATTAGCTTTATGATAAGGATTTGGTTGTGATAGAAGGCTAATTACTTCTTACATTTTTAACTTTAGTCCCTTGTTAATATTTTATATTTCATTATTTGCTGAAGCAGCTTCTATGTTCATAAGAATTTATTCTCTGATTTTTCTTGAGACTTAAGCATTAAATGCCCTGAACTTTTTCACATATATATATTTTTTATTTTAGATTATTACATTATCAACATCTTAAATTATTTTTCTCTACCACTGACATTTTCCACATTAGAATGATCTTTCATGAATACTAATATACTCTGCTTTTTTGGAAGCTCCCTGTTTCTTGGCATTACTTTATTCCTTAACACATTTTAGGTTTATAGTCCACTGAAAATGTATTTTTAATGTGATAATAGTTTATCAATATTTGTAGCTTAATTATACTTTCAATAAATATAAATATTCCCATTAACCTAACACCTGATTCTTAATATTTCAATATCTCTTATTTGTATAGCATTGTATAGTTTACGAAGCACTTTCATATACCTCATGTAATAGTGTTAATTATCTGTGGAAAGAAGTCCAACTTTTTAATAAGTAAACCATAGTGTTGTCTCTATACATTGTACATATTTGTTGTTTTCCAAATACATAACATCTATGTGATATATAAACACACACACACATAGATATAGATATCATGAAGTCACAGTCATAATAGTACATTGTAATAATAACATGAAAACTAGGTACTCTAATACAAAATGAAGATCATTAAAGATGATGTATGTTATTTAATGATCCTAGCACACATTTGATGTAATCATAACTACATATTTGTTTGCTGGAGGGAAATCAAAGTTCTTGCAGTTTAACTTCTTCTAGGACTTTAAGCAACTACATACTGTTGAACAAGAGAAATGTCTATGTTTTTGCTGATGATACAAAAGAGATTTTTTAATTGAAAATATCTGATTAACATAAAGATAACAACTGATACACAGAAAAAGAAACCTGAAAGTGAAGCCCTATATTAAAAAGATGCACATTACTTCTATACTAAATAGTTTAGACATTTTTTATCAGTCTGAATTCCCCAAATCCTATGACTCCCTTTAATTGTCTGTCACCTTCTCTTTTTAGACAAGCTTTTCCATAGATTTCTAAAATTATATTGCCTTCACTGCAACAACTTCCATTTGTTCCTTAATCCACTGCTATCTGGCTTCCACTTCTCTCACATCAATGTATTGCATTGTTTGTGATCAACTATTAATAATTGACCTAATGACTGCAAAATAGACACTTCTTGACCACTATCTTTCCTGATTTTAATTTCCTTAGTTTCCATATCATCATGTTCTCTTGGTTATTTTCTTACTTCTCTTGTTCCTTCTCAGGCTCTTCCTTGAGCTTCTTTCTTTGCCTGTCCTTTATATGCTGGAGTTTTTGACAGTTTATGTGACACTCTTCTTACTATGCCTATACTCTCTGTGTAATCTTACTTACACTGTCTGTGTGATCTTATCTATATCTGTGTGTGAGTAAAGCATTAACAAAATCTGTTCTCCTCTATGGACCAATTCAACTTTGGGTTAATTTTCTAAGTTTGTTCCCTTGGATAATTAGAAGGATCTGAGTTGTATTACAAGGCACATTGATTATGGTTAAAATGACTCATCACTAGTAAACTGCATCTGGTCTAAAAGGACTGTGAATAAACCACAGATACCTGATAAGAAGCCATAGTTTTGGGTTCCCTGAGTTTGGTAATTCTTATTATTGGACATGTCTCTTGCATGGTCCTGGAAGATATTCTTATGGAGCCATTACAAGAAATATTGGTTCCTTTTTGGAACATGAGGCTTCTAATCCACCTGCCTACCATTGTGTTCTTACATCGTGATCCTTACAGCTGAGCTGTCACTTGTAGGGGGTAGAGAGATAGCAAAGACTAGCCCCTCAACTGCTTTGTGGTCTGCTATAAGGATTCCCCCTACTGAAGAATGTTCCCTTGTTGGCATGTAGTGTTTTCTGTCCTTCTCTAATTGAAGCCAAATATGGCCTATTGTAGTCTTGGGAGTTTGATTGTTTAGCTGAATCTAAGACCATCGCTGGTGGATATTGAGCCATGGCTTTAACTTCATTCATTCATTGATGACTGTTATATCTACATTCATGGCCCAGATTTCTTACCATGAGAGACTGGCTCTTGAATATCCCATAAGAATTTCAAGCTTACAACTTATCATCTTCCTTCCAATTATTTCCTCCTCTAAACATACTTATTCCTCCCTCATAGTCATTAAATTTTTTTTTATTGTGTTAAGAACACTTAGCTTGAGATCTAACCTCTTAACCTCATAGTCCTTATTTTGATAAATGGTTTCACTATCTATTCACTGACCAAATCTAAGTTCTGGAGTCATCCTTGACTCCTCCCAATCACCTTCCAGGTCTTAAATAGTTACCAAATCATATTGACTCTACCTCCAATATAGCTCTCAAGAAGTCATCATTTTCATTAACTAAAGTGCCACTTGTACCTGGTTTTCTCACCTTTAGTTTTACCCTATTCTTTTCCATTCTGGCAATATTTCTAAAACATAAATGTTGTGTGCTTGCTCCAAATCTTTCAGTAATTGTTTTAGAAAAAACTCCTTAACAAAGTTCTTCATGATTTAACTCATTGATTCCTTTCCAACCTATCTGCCCACAACTTTCTTCTCATTGTACACACTAGTCAAATTGAACTACTTATAGCTCCCTTCACACAATATGCCTTTCATGCCTCTATGTCTTTTAACACATTAACATTCCTTCTGTCTGAAGTTACTTCTCAGAGTATGTCTTCATGAATATCCTCCTTATCTATCAAACTTCAGGCCATATTTATACCCTCTGAGAAGTGTTCACTTCTGTTGGTGATGTTTCTCTATCAAAAGTATTTACTGAATACCTCCAACATGCATAGTGCTAAACTAATTACTGTGAGGAATAGCTGCATATGTAAGATTTAGCTATTGTCCTCTAGAATATTACAATCTGATTTGGGATACAAAAAGTACACATAAGAATTAAGCAACACTGGCTGGGCGCCGTGGCTCACGCCTGTAATCCTAGC